GGGGCTTGGGTCCTTGTGGCTGGGCCCAGTCGCTGCTGCCTGTGTCCACCCCAGCTCCTTGCTGACCACCGGCCCCCTTCCCTGCTCCCCGCCCAGGCCCCTGCGCCCTGAACCCCTGCCACAACAATGCCGAATGCCAGGTGCTAGAAAACCGAGGGGACGTCTTCGCCCAGTACATCTGCAAGTGCCCTCGTGGCTACACGGGCGCCCACTGTGAGACCAGTGAGTATCGGGGTGCAGGCTCCTTGGGCCGAGCCCCGCGGCAGGGCCTCTGGGGACCTTTGGGGGCACGGGGCGCAGCTGGGCCGGGGTGGGGTTGGGGTCCTCAGTCCCCCCGGGGCTCTCCCCACCCGGACCCCCACCCTGGCCTTCCGGCCTGTGCTGTCACTGCTGGGGTGCTGGGTGGCGGCGCCCCGGAGGCCTGGCGGTTCTGCCTGGGTCCCAGGAAGTCAGTAAGGCCTGGACGACAGGGCCTGACCTTCCTGGCCAGGTGTGTCTTGTGGCCTCTTTCTGGAACCCGGCAGAGGGACAGGCCGAGGCAGGGGGCGGGCAGGGCTGGCGCTCGGAACCCCGGCTGGCTCGCCGAGGCCGCTGCTCTCCCTGTGCCCGGAGGCCGCAGTGGCTCCCCGCGCCGGCCCCGTTCAGCCCAGTGGGGTCCCCCCACCCAGCCAGGATGCTGCCTCACCTGCTGTGGCCGGAAGGGTCCTTCCTTGTCTTTCCCGGGATGGGCAGTCCCAACCGCTGCCTCTGCCGCAGCGCGTGGCTGGTCATAGGCGGCGGAGGGCGGGGCGGCCTCGGGGGTTTGCAGACCCGCGGGAGGCCCAGCTTTGCGCAGAGCGGCCGAGGGCTGCCGGCCCAGTGTGCTGGCGATCTCGGGCGGGGAGTGAGGTGCAGGGTGGGGGCGCCCCCAGGCGGGCCCACTGATTACTGTGCGGAGCCCGGTAACCACGGGTGGCTGACGTGGAATTGGCCAGCCAGCTCCAGCTTCCAGCCTGGGGTCTGCCCTTCCCCGGGAGGTTGGCAGCAGCCGCAAAGGTGGGGGTCCCCCAGGGCGCCCCTTGTTTGCTGTGGGGTGTGTTTCCTCGGAGCCATAGGGGTGTGGAGACAGTCCAGAGGTAGGCCTGGCTTCAGATGCTGCCCAGCCCCTGGCTGGCGCTGAGCTGGGGGGCAGCTTCACTGTGCCCACGAATGTCTCGGCACCCAGCTCTGGGGTGTCGGGGAAGCCTGGCTCCATCCGAGGTGCAGGTGCATAGCACGGTGCCCTGCAGGCTGCCCGTGCTGCGTGAGGGCTCGGCCTGTCCGCGGCCTGTGTTTGTCCTCAGCTCCCGAGAAGCTAGAACCCGCGGTGGGTTCTAGAGACTTCCAGGCAGGTTTGCTCGTTGCTGTCCATGCAAGCACGTACCATCCTCTGTGGCCTGACACGCCCCTTCCAAACACGGTCAGGCACGGGGAGGCCAGGCACGGGGCTGGACGTGGCGGCCGAGGCAGAGGCCACGCTGGCCTTCCTCCGCCTGCGGCCTCCACGCCGGAATCTTGGCAATGCCTGACGAAGACGAGCCCCGCCCTGTGGCCCGGCCCCTCCCTCACTGGGCGCTCTCCGTCCCCCCTCCTGGGCGCTCATGGCCGCTTCCTGGTCTCTGCTTGGGTCGCCTCCGGGGCCTCGCCTCTTGCCCTCCGCCTGGCGGCGCCCTGACGGCCCCCCCCCCCCCCCGCAGTCTGCGCCATGCCGCTGGGCATGGAGTCGGGCGCCATCAGCGACGCGCAGATCTCTGCCTCGTCCATGCACCTGGGCTTCATGGGCCTGCAGCGCTGGGCCCCGGAGCTGGCCCGCCTGCACCGCACGGGCATCGTCAACGCCTGGACGTCCAGCAACTACGACAGGAACCCCTGGATCCAGGTGGGCGGGGGACGCTGCCTTTGGGCTCCCCACGGCGTGCTTATCACTGGGGCTCAGGTGGAGCGTCTGCAAGTGGGGAGCAGCGTTGGGGGCCCCGGAGTGTCCGTGGGGCGAGGGCAGCAGACCCACGCTGGCAGGGCCTCTGGCGCCTGGTCCCTGCCGGGTCCCCCGAGAGGCGATGAGCAAGCCTCCCTCCTTCACCGCCTGGGCCGCACCCCTCTGGGGGCGGGGTGGGGAGAACCCCAGAGCTGAGGCACCGCTGTCTTCGCACGGGCCCAGGTCAACCTGTTGCGGAAGTTCCGGGTGACTGGCGTGGTGACGCAGGGCGCCAGTCGCGCGGGCAGCGCCGAGTACCTCAAGTCCTTCAAGGTGGCCTACAGCGTCAGTGGCCACAAGTTCCAGTTCATCAAGACCGGAGAGGGGCTGACAGACAAGGTGAACGTGGGGCCCAAGAAGGGCGGGGCCGGCATCCCCTGGCTCCGGTGCCAGGCCCCGGGGGGTGCAGGCGCCCGGGCAGCTGGCACGAGGTGGGCCCTGGCACGTTCGGGTTCCGGAAGCGGGGGGCCCCCAGTTGTGTGGTGTCTGCGGTTACGCAGTCCCGCTTTGCAGTGAGAATGATGAGAAAGGCCGGGGGCTGCGGGGCGGCGGCTGCGAGGCGCGGCTGGGGTGTTCCCTGGGGCCTCCAACGCCCGCGAGCAGCTGCTGGCCATCCGCTCCGAGGCTTCGCG